CAAGCATTACATTCTTTAAATACAATAAAATTAAATAATATATCTTATTAAGTTTATTTGTATTATTTTTATAATAGAGTATTATACATTGTATAAGTTTAAAACGCGATCGCTTCCTTACGGCTCTTCGGATTCGATGTATTTCGCGGGATAGCGTTGGTCGGATATGGTCAGGATTATCGAAGAAAAATAAAATATCGAGAGCCTTTTGATTCTATATACAAAGATCTATATTTATCGCTAACTTCATATATTTACATTTTTACTGATTGAGTTTTGGCATGTATAATATTTACAAGTATTTGTCTCGGAATTTCGCCTTCGGTTCCGAGAAAAGCGGCGCGAGTTCCGGGAATCGTAATAATAGATTCGGCTCGCGGTCGGTTCCGCGAATTCGGCGCGTTCACGGTAGGCGCGGCGCGGGCGCGATGGTGCGAGGGGTCTTCGGCGCGCTTGCTATGATGGATCAGCTGTTCGTGCGTTTCGTTGTGCATATTGTCAGTCTGAGGTTTTGTGCTGTGGTCTTTGGAATGCAGGAAGCTCCCTACTTCTTGACCGTCAGCGGCGGAAGGTGCGCACAAGGGCTTGCTTTTAGAGCTCAGATTGAGAAGCTCCTCAATCTGTGGTAAAGTTTGTGCCCTGTGGATGAAAGGAGCAATCGGCCAAAAGCTCCTGGCGCGATAGGAAGCACCCTAGATCACTTTGTGTTGGACAGGACTGGAAGTGTCGAGAACAGTACTAGATGTCTTACTGTCTCGCCGGTGATAGGTCTCGATCATCCACCGGAGTCGCTTAATATACCCGAGTTGGCCGTCGGTCGGAAGTAGTCGGGTACTGGTCGAATTCGGGTCGGGGTAGTTCCGGGGGATGCTCTCGCCGGAATATTCGCGATAATTCGCCGACCGCGCTCGATTATTCCGCGAAGATGTTCGGTGGCGCGGTCGGCAGCGAGGCCGGCGGCGGTGGCCTAACCGGTGTTTATTCACGCTCTGCGCACATGAAGCCGTGTGATCTCCGTTTTGCTTCGTTTGATATTCGACGTGATTTTACGATGGTGGGATCGCGAAAGGATCGCCGTGTCGATGCTCCGACGGTTGATCGGTTGGGGACCCTTAATATTATTTTAAACAATGGGGAGGGGGGTGAGTCGAGTGTCGTTACAAGTTCATAATATTCCTTTCTCTTTCGGATTAATACTCTAACACAAATTTCATATTTCATTTTCTTACACTATATCGTTATCATATTATATTATACTATGTGCTTTACAACTACTTTGTTTATAGAAAATTGTAATAAAGGATATATATATGAAAATACACGGAAACAAAATAATATCATAATAGTACCAGAATCATATGTTGTGTTACAAAAGGTAAATAAAGCATTAAAGAAAGGAGAATTAAAAGGAAGAAAGAAACTTAAAAAATAGATGACATATCAAAGAAAACGTTACAAAAAAGCAATGTAATTGCAGCAAGATAATTTTATAATATTTAACTACAATGAAACTAAAATAAAATAAAATATGGGATTAATCTTAATATACAATACGTACAATATTATCAACTTTCTTCTCTTCCCTGCAGATCGATATATAAAGTGTAATTGTAAGTTAGTATGTACGAAAAGCTAAAATATACCAGCCAAATATACTCTCACCCTTTCTTACACTTCTATTATATAATTCTACAATATAGTACGCTGTGATTTCGTTTTTTCATAATTTTAAATGTTATTATTCTTTAAGGGATAATAAATGTTATTATCTCTCAAATTTAAATAATCAATTTGGAAATATAACCTTTAAATGTATCATATTTAACATTTCACAACTTTACATAAAGCACCGGTACGATATAAAATAGTAACATCAATTATGTCTTTTTACATTTTATTTGTCATATTTTATTTGACACATTTTATTTTTTACATTTTATTTTTACATTTGTTACATAACCAAACAAATCGTGCGGTTTTCTCAACATCACATGTCCTTTTATAACTAGATAAATGATACGCATTAACAGTGTCCAAATAAACGGTGAGCATCTGCACGGTGTCCAAATGGGCAGTGCGCATTTGCAACTTGTTTCAATAACGGTATGCATTTGCACGGTGTCCAAATGACCGGTGTCCATTTGCACGGTGTCCAATTACACCGTGTCCAAAAAATTGTGTCCATTTGAGACGTGTCCAATTGAACTGTGTCCAAATGAATCCTTCTGTATCCTGAAACTCCTGTATCTACACCGATTGAGTCAAACACGAAAATTACGAAGAACTTAGGACCGAGAGATGACGAAGAAAGAAAGCAAATGAAAAACCGACCATATCGAGAAAACTAATTGAGGTTTAATTTTGATAAATGCAACCAGACCAGACATCGTTTACGGTAAATGTCCTAAGCAGATTTTGTTCTGATCCCGGAGAACACCGGCTCTTAGCAAAACGAGTATTACGATACCTCAAAGGAATTATAAACTACGATATCAAATACGAGAAAAACAAACAGAAGATGATCGCATACACAGACTCTGACTGGGGCGGAGACATAGAAGATCGGCGATCTTGTTCGGGAAACGTCCTAATCTTGACTGGAGGAACGATCAGCTGGAAATCTAGGAAACAACCGACAGTATCCTTATCAACGATGGAGGCCAAATACATCGCTCTTTCTGAAATATCAAAAGAAATTGTGTCTGAAAAGACTCTTGAATATATCATATGCAGTTTTACGATCTTGCAAAGAATCCAATACATGTTCTGTGATAATCAAAGTGCAATACACCTCACAAAAAACGCGGTGTTTCATAAAAGAAGCAAGCACATTGACATTCAACATCATTTTACGCGAGAATTAGTCGAAAAAAATGAAATTAAAATCGTTTACTTAAGAACTGATTCTTGCTGATGTTTTTACAAAAGCGCTCTCAAAAATTAAACACGACAGAGCAGTCATGATGTTAAACTTAAAATAAAAGGAGCGTATTAAATCAGCATAGAAAACTAAAGTTTTTTTTTTAGTAGGATTAATGTTTTGTTTATATCAGATTCACATCGATAAAGAGGGTGTTAGAATAGATCGATGCAAATCGAACACACAGCCTTCACTTGGGCACTCGAGAATATCAAATAAATCTGATATACGCCACGCTAGAAGTCAGTTATAGTTGAGTCGTCGCACAAAAAGACTTCTCGCTGTACGTTCGTCAAATATATCCTTTTTGTCAAATTAATATCGCAGTGTTAATCATTTTCGTCCCTATCATATCCTGACAATTTACATTTCTAATATATCAATTTTATCAATATTCTATAATACTTACATCATAAATTTTCAATTTCCTCTTGTTTGCAATATCTACTTATTAATAAATAAATTTTAAAATAATAAACTATATTTTATATTATATATTATCTATACTATACTATTTTATTTATATATTTATACATTTTACAAGTATAAATAAATTTAAAAAATCTACCTTTTTCCGTATAATATTAATATTAAATACAAATTTAACCTTATTATTAAATATATATTAAAATCATGCTTTTATAATATAATTACCTTTATAAATTAAAATCTTTATAAATTATTATGTGTACAAAACATGTGTACAAAAAAGTTCTGAGCTTTAGATTTCATACAATCGAAATAACAATTTAAATTTTATATATCTTCCCGCCCTTTTGCGGTTTTAAAGCGTTGACATTTGGCCTCCTGCCATACAGTTTGGTGTTTGATGCACATAATCTCAAAAATCAGTAATGTTCAAGATAGCAATAACAAAAGAGCATATTCGATTTTCCATCCACTTCGCGTTTCATCTGAAGAAAAATGCTGCTGAAGCCATTGCAATGATTTGTGCTGCATATGGAGAGAACGCTGTAAATCATATTACATGTAAAAGATGGTATCAAAAATTTCGCCAAGGAGATTTCAGTCTTGAAGATGAACCACGTGCTGGACGCTCTCAAAAAATTGAAACAGACGAATTGTAAGCACTGCTGGATATAAACTCTGCGCAAACTAAAAAGGAGCTTGCAGAACAACTTGGCGTTACGCAGCAAACCATTTCCGTTTACATACGATGGGAAAGGTTCAGAAGGAAGGCAGTTCCGCATGAATTGTCCGAAGACAACAAAAATCGTCGGCGTGACACTGCATTCACTTTGCTTTCAAAGTTCCGGAAAAAAGATTTTCTGCCCAAAATCATTATAGGCGATGAAAAGTAGATTCTTTATGATAACCCTAAACGTAGAAAATCATGGGTTGATCCTGATCAACCTTCGACATCGATGCCAAAGCCCAATATCCACGCCAAGAAGGTTTTGCTCTGTATCTGGGATTGGAAAGGTGTGTTGTATTAGTACGAGTTGTTACAACTGAGTGAAACAATCACGGCAGAACGCTACCAACAACAATTGATCAATTTGAGCGATGCATTACAAGAAAAAAGGCCATTTACTGGCCAAGGACGTACGTAAGTGATCTGCTTCATGACAAT